TATTTTGTCTCTGTATATTATTCACTGTAGGCTGTACAAGCTAATCATTTCTTGTGCATGAGATAGGTATTGAACCATGTACTACAGTATGCATATATAGGTCAATTTATTGATTATCTTCAGTTCCCTAGAATTCTATTAATGTAAATGGCCATGTTTAATTTCATTCTAAAGTCTGCCATAGCTGAGGGTACCTACATTTTGAAGATGAATCTAGAAGGAATTTTGCACCATGGACAGCACAAACGTAACAAACCATCCTAATAGTTATTGATTCTGCTGATATATCAAACACATACTTTGTCCATATGACGAATTCAATTTTTTCAGGAAACCATGTTTTCTGAAACTATTTTAGTTGAATCATATTAATGAGCAGTGTACAGTAATTAGAATGTGTACAGTGTGTTATAAAATACTTCTAATCATTGTGAAACACAAAGAGAATAAGATAATGTATGGTAACATAACTACAACAGTTAAAGCTTTACCAAAACCTGTTATCCAAAGTAAGAGGGAATCATTTAATCACTAGTGTGGTTACGCTCTACAACCGGAACTATGTTAATTTCCCCAGTGATTCATATTATAAAAGAATATCAATTTAAGTAATCACACATTATGCTTTTTAGTATTTAAAGAAGTTCGGTGTAAATACTGTAGCTGTAAAATCCAAAATGGGAAGTATTTTTCTTGAAATAAAATCATATTCAATTTAATATGTAATGCTTCCGTGATACACCTCTATATATACAAGTTCAGCAGGAGAGATAATGATATTCTCTTGAATCACAGTGGCTTCAATTGTCCAAAGTTGATCTAAGAAGCAACGGTCGGTAGATTTGAACTCTCTTCTCCATACTATGTGGCTGCATTTGCTTCTCTATTTTAGGCAAAATTTCTAGGACTGCATTGCTGCGAGCTCCTTACTTTATATGTAAGAATAATTAGTACAGATGCTTGAGTTTACAACAGAATTTTAAACATACTGAATTTCACCCTTCTCAGTTCTTTCCAGCTCATGTAGCTAAAATGCTGTCAAGTTTATATATAATACAGAAACTTTGAGTTGAGGCAGGGAATATATCTGACCTGGGCTATCTTAACTCTCCTGAGGTATGCATGCAGAAAACAAGTTGAGTTAATGTAGAGTGTTTACAATTATTAAGCTTTTCTAAGTGTGTGTCATATGTCAAGCTCTGTAGAGGTGTTCCATCTGTCCTCGAAAGCTTCATGAAACAGAAGCAGCCTGAAACTGCACAGTGAGCAAAAATCCTCATCAGACAAAACTGCCATGGCAGTAACCCTGGCAAAAGTCAGAGAGCATATTTTCATGCTGACTTTAATGACTGTGCATCACAGAGTAGGAGAAGTTGGCTTCTACTTGTCCTGGCACCTTGTCATTGGTATGCAATGGTCTTTCTTTCTGGAACCATGACTTTAAGTGTTATAATTAGGAGAAGCCACTACATATTACTTGGTGTGTTAGAGTACTTTTGTTTAAAAACAAAACTAGAACTAAAGGTCATCCAAGAAGTTATAGAAACAACCTGCTCATCCCAGTCTCCCTGGTGTGGCTTACTCACCCATCTGAAGCCTTTAAATATGTTATCAGAGTGTGAACAGGTGACAGAAGGCTTTCTAAGGCAGAGCCTCATTGCGTGTTCTAGAGCTATCGTCAATATTTTAGAGGCTTGAAGTTCTCTCTAGATATATTTTCATTCTTAGGGACATAAGGAAAATTGATAAGTTTAATAGGTTTTAGAAAATGTATAAATATTTAAAATATCAAGAGTGGCTGAAATACATCCTTTATCACAATGGCAGTTTGTTTCATTTGTAAATGTTACCCTAAGGAATCCCAGATCTACATATTCCAGTTCATTTTTATTAATATTATTTATATTCAGTGGTGGTATTTTAAATCTATAAAATGACTTTTGAAATAACGAAAAAGATCACTGTTAGTTCTGATACCACAAGATGTGGCAATGTCAGTGTGACTTAGTAGACCATGATTTTATTAAATAATCTAACTTTAGTGGTCTCAGGGTCATTTGAGGAAGAGATGTTTAATGAAGGCATTAATATTTACTCCTACCCATCTTCCAGCTGGGATCCCATGGAGTGAGAGCACCAGGTTAATTGAGTTTTATCGCAACATCTCTAGGCCACTTTAGAAATTACTGTAAGGCACATTCCCTAAGGGCTGATCTATATAAAGGAAGAAAATCGAAGGAGAAATGAGGAATGCCTAACTAGGTTCCGCTGGCACTGCCAGCATAGGTACTTATTAAAAGACAGACTAACTGAAAAGCAATTTTCTCAGAAAATAACAAATAAGAGTCACTATTTCCTAATCCATTCTCAGGAAAATGGAAAGAAAGCAGTCCTTGATACAACAGAGAAAAATAACAAGAATATGTAAATGCTAAGTTTTCTTTAATCCACTATATATATATATATATTCTCATTTTTTTTAATAATTTATTTCTAGGAATACTGCTGTTTGGAAAGTTTAAGGGTTGCTGTCTTCTACCGCTGATACACACTCTTTGAGCTCTTTAGGGCAAAATATAAAATAAGACACTACTTATGCTCTTACACTGTGGCCTAATATCAGCTGAAGGAGAAAAGTGGAGGACTTGGCTATCTTACCTAGATAGTAGTACAAGCTAAGAGGTGAAATACAGAGACAAATGCAATACAAATCATCATTAATTAGATTCCCATTATAAGCTAGGAATCATTCCAATTCCATATATGACTTTGTTTTATTCCACAATATCTATAAAATGAGCTTTTGATATCCTTATTATACAAACACACGAATCTCTTCTCAGCTCCTAATGGGCTGGGACACAGAGCATGCTCATTTTAAGTGTGGAAAACATCCAAAAATATTTTTTCTTGACTCTTAGAAAATTATATTTACAATTTCACAGTAGAGAAATGTTAAACTTAATTGGATACTTTAGCACCTAACGTGCTATTTCCAAATCACAGAAATATTTCTATATCCCAAAATATCTGTATGAGGCCATGCAGTGATTTTAAGTAGTTTTAATTATGAGTAAGCTTACTGGTAAAGACATGACTTTCATCTTACATTATTTAGCAGGCTTTAAGATAAAAACATATTCTCTAAGAAAAAACTTCTGATTCTTAAACTTATACCAAGATTGGTTTTAAAGAGATGACTCAATGGTTAAAAGCAATGGCTACGCTTTCAGAGAACCTGGGTTCAGTTTCTAGCACTTGTCTGGTTCCAGGAGTTCTAGTCTGGCTTCTTCACCAGGTGTGAATACAGTGCACATACTTATATGCAGGCCAAGCATCCATATACATCAAATAAAAACATTAAAAATAAAGACTCCCATTCTTAGCAAATTGTTCAATTCAGTTAGTCTTAGATATGCAAAAATCCAATGTCTGTTTTAAACTCATTATATTTTCATTGTTTTCCAAAATTGTGCTACAATTGAATAACCTGTAGTTCTAGTTTTTATCTGTATTAGTCAGAGTTCTCTAGAGGAACAGAATGGATCCGAGTGAATAGATATAAACAGGGTTTATTAGAATGGCTGTACAGCTAGTGCAACAATGGCTGCCTACCAATGGAAGGTTCAAGAATATACTAGCTGTTTAGTCCATGAGGCTGGGTGTATTAATTGGTCTTAGGTATATACCAGAACCCCAAAGAAGTAGACTCTAATGTTATGAAGAATTGTACTTGCCAACAAAAGCAAATGGCAGAAGAGTGCAAGCTTCCTCCTTTCATACACTTTATATAGGCTGCCAGGAGAAGGCTTAGGCCAAGTTATAAGTAGATAACCTAAAAAGATACGGATTAGAGTTATATCTTCCCATCTAGAAAAATAAGTACAATATCATCAATGGTGGTGAGTGTGCTATCATCCAGACAAGCATAGTGCTGTAGGAGGAGCTAAGGCTTACATCCTTATTCGTAGTCAGCAGGCAGTGTCAGAGAGGAGTCAGAGGAAAGAGAGAGAGGAGAGAGAGAGAGAGAGAGAGAGAGAGAGAGAGAGAGAGAGAGAGGACCTGACATGACCTTTTGAAAACTCAATGCTGACCATCAGTGAAGACCAAGCCAAGTATTCAGATAGGGACCATTTGAATCCTATGGTGATCATTCTCATTCAAACTACCACATTATTTCTGAGCACATAATAGGTTAAGCTATTTCAGACACTATGCACCTTCTTTTTTTCTTAACATAGCACCTTAGGATTTTAAGTAAAATACAACCAAAATATTTCTTAATAATTAATAAAAATCAAAGTTTGTTTCATAATATCATTTCTATTTAATATTAACTTCTAAAAATTTTACAACAAACCTATAGAATAAATTGCATTCAGATTCATTCATGTTTGATAGTTGAGGACTTGCAGGAAAACTGAGGTATAACTTTCAGCATAAACAAGATAGGTATCACTGCAGAAGCTTCTGGTATGTCATCATGTGTTTCAGCCAAAGAAGTTTCTGTTCCTGTGTATTTATCTTTATATCTACAAAACATAAGTGAAAATATTTTTCCAATTTCATTAATAAAGAAGGTTTTGATTTATCATACATGGAATGGATTAAAACAAACTCAAAATAATCCAACTACTCCTGAAAAAGGATATGTAAGGCTAGTGTTTAAATGATTTTCTTTCTTTCCCCCTCTTTCCCTCTCTTTCCATCCCTCCATCCCTTCTTCATTCTTTTCCCAATTTTCTGTCCTCCAAGTTTTCCAAATTTTCTGTTTATTGTTCATATATTTTTAATCCTAATTTCTCAAAAGAACACTATTACAATCAGGAAAGTTTTATAAAATATTTCAAATCCTAATAGTTACCCTTTAGCCTTCTCCATTTTTCATTCTAGCTTGAATTTAGTTGTAGTAGATTAGTCAGAAGAAACTATTTTCGTAAGAAAAAAACATAAACCAAGGGCCTTAGATTTGACTATGTATTATTGTTTCTTTTTTACAGAATACTCTGAAGCTCTCTCTGGCCTTTCCACGTCATATGCTGCTTTGCTAAGAATTAAGAAAAGTTCAACCTCATCTGCCTTTGGTTCCAAGTCCAGACCACGGTACAGCAGTCCTTCGTTAGGTACCCTGAGTGTTTCTCCACCTAGCTGGAGAGGGGCAGCTCAGCAGTACCACTCCCCGGTCAACCTTTATCACTCCTCAGATGCCTTTAGACAAGATGGTAAGTACAGAAAAATAAATACAAAGTAGCATCAGTCAGGCAAGGAACACTTCACACAAGATGGTTAATGAGAGGTCTCAAGCCTGCTGAAGTGAGGAGAGAGTTGGACTTCACTGGACTATAGGGAGAGTTTTGAAGGGATAGGTCAACATTGAGAAAGCAAGTGGAGTTCAGAGGCATGTGCTCAGTGTGGATAGAGTATCTGCTCTTGTTAACTGGTGTACTTAGAAGCAGAGTTGGGAGATGGATTGCTGTGTTCCCTCATTGCATTTCAAATAGGTTACTCTCTGAGTCCTTAGAACAGATTGATGTTTGTAAGAAAACAGTGGGTTGAAGATGATCCATGTCTTATAGGAACAGGCTATGAATTTACAATTGCAACTTTGGAAACTGCAACCTTGAGGAGCAAAAGGAGGTAAGCCAGCTGTGGAAGAAAAGAAAAGGCCACTCAGAAAAAGAGCCTGTTAATACTCTCGGCTACTGTTATAAAAATCGCTCAGGATTCTTGGTGAAATCAACTGTTAATTATACTCACTAGCAATATTGATTTATAACCAAATTTCAGACTTAATAGTCTGAAAGTAAAAGCACAACTCTTTCATTCTTTCTTTTTCTTTTTCTTTTTTTAATGGCAATTTGGCAATAAGAATCAGTAGCCTTAAAAGAAGTATATTGGGGACTGGAGGAGAGATTCAATAGTTAAAAATGCTGTTACAGAGCACCTGAGTGTTTTTTCTAGTACCAACATCAAACAACTCACAATTGCCTGTAACTCCAGTTCTAAACTCCAGCTTCAGGGGAATTCAATGTCCCTGGGTACTAACATACATGTGCATAGACCCACACACAGACAAATACAGACACACATACACACACAGACACACACCCACACAATTCAATATAAAGTAAAGCTTTAAATAAATGAAATAAACAGGTTAAGTTTAGGGTTTTTGTTCCTGGATTTTTCTTTAGTAAAATGGTGTCAAGTGTATTACATATTCTATGAATGCATGCTTATATTTCACTTTAGAGTGATAAATAAATAAGACAGATGTCACACTTAGATATCAGTTAAATTAACAACCACTCTACACTTATTAACATTATGGACTGAGAAATATCTTTTCATTGTTCGCTAAACCTGTCACCATTAGGCATATCAAAAGAACACAATGAGGTTAACGAGCATTCCTGCCAATGCTCATTAGCAGACACAGTGCCATGATTTAGATATAGCTTATCTCGCTCAGTGTTTCAAAGAAATGTGTCGAGTAGATACTGTGGCTTCTGTGGGAATGAAAACGCACATGTGGTTATATGTCTCTCCCAGGATCCAATTACTAATTAGCTCTCTGCATAGTTTCGTTTATGCCTTTACTGATTTTAAGAGAAATAGACATTCAGCACTGACTGAGGATAGATGAGACATTTGAAGACATGTTTTCCAAGAACTTTATTACAAACTTTAAAGTATCAACTCAGGTCGAGTTGCTGTGTGGAGGCAAACTCATTACTCATGATTATACAAATCATCCCCTGTAAGGCATCCATCCCACCATGCTAACTTTTGCAGTTTATTCACCTTAAATATTGAACCTTAAATATATGCTGAATAGGAAAATATTGAATAAGAATTTCAAAATTCCCTTTGCTTTATACTTAATTTCCTTTCTGGCTGTTACTAAACTTACACTTTGAAAACTTCTTATATTTATGTACTGCATTCTAATTGTTATCAACACTGTTATCAACACTATAAACCCATTCACAACACTGCACACTATAAACCCATTCACA